TTGAAGGCTCATCTAGCTGCATCTAGCTCGCCTTTGGTTGAGCACTCCTTGCCGTTTTCAAGGCAGCTCAGGGAATGGCTCGGCATCCCAGGAGGCTGAGGCATCCACTCGAGACGTGTACTGCAGGAGAAGATCGCTTTGCAGTGTGGTCACAAGCGACGGTGTAGGATTCGACCTGAATTAGCTCTCGTGAACATGTCGTAGCTTGGCGCATGATCACAGTCAGTGGCTTCGTTTCTTTGAGTCCGTTTCCAGCAGATGTCCAACAGTGCCTGTCAGGCAGCTCTTGCAGACATGAAGCAGCGAATGAAATCGCTCTCCCAGGCAAGTTCCAGGGGAAGAGTGCCGCCCACATGGAAAGCATCAGCTAGACATGTGGTGAGATGTTCTTAGTCCGGCTGCTTTCCGATTGCACGGCCTGTGCAGAAAAAGCACGGTCAGGCAAAGCGCCGTGCAGAAGAGCGCGTCGAAGAACACCAGCAGGCCAGAGAATTTTATGGGGAGGGCAAACCACAAGGTTTGACACTTGTTTCGGTACTTTGGGCTCGGCTGCAGCTCGATTTTAGCCACTATTTTGTGCAGGCCCAGAAGCCACCACAGCTGACGTCAGTCGTTTGCACCAACAGAATATTTCAAAGCTGGCCAGGATCAGCAAGGCGTTGACGACAGTACCTTTATGTACCGTTAGTCCTTTCTCCTGGCCTGTAGATCTGTCTGAAAGGCGGGATGTAGTCACTGACTGATGGGTGACGGACCGGAATGACAGATGTGCAAAGGAACGTTGAAAGATACTAGCAATATGGTTCTATGTGTAGCCTTTCCAAATGGCATCCTCGACCTTCGATTGTTTGACAGGAAATCACTCGCCAAGCCCGGGCACATCAGGCGGACTTGGAAAGGTGCCTGCGTTGTCCACCCCCCTTGCTTGCACTTGTCTGTAGAAGTCTGCAGGTCAGCACAAATGCGTGAACTCTGTTGATGGTGTAGATGTACAGTGTTGTGGGTTCGTCGCACAAGTCACGGGCATCTCGACTGGGGACGCCTGTGGAACAGCCCGAGCAGGTTGCAGCTCGACATCGCCACGCAGCAGCAACAGCAGCTGGAAGAGAAGGCCGCGCTAGAAGACGAGCAGACTGAATCTCCGATTTACCTTTGACAGACCTCGTTTTGTGGGTTCTATTGGTTTGAGACCTTGCATCCCTGTCAGCACAATCCATGACCGGCACTGCCGTCGTGTAAGTAGCTTCATGCCTGTGGTTTAACCTGAACTATTTGGCCATGGACGTCGTATCGCGTGGCCAGGATCATCTCAAAGGAAAGCTTTCTGGTGCCGAGCGGCGCATCAGGATGCTGGAGGCTCCGCATTCGCTGCAAGCAGGTCTAAACTGTTGGGTTTTGCAGGAGCGTGGCGGATTGCTGTGGAATCTGTGGACAAGCCGTCCTGTTGTGTTCGCTTTCATGACAGTGCCAGCAAAGCAGGCCAAGCTGAAAGGCAGAGTTGAGACACAGCGGGTGCTTCAAGTTTCTCTGATGCAGCCAGCGAGTGACCTGCATCAGACTGCAAATTCCAGGCGAATCATATGAGTCGATGGCTTTCTAAATGTAGCGTTCGTGATGCTTCGTTGATTTTCGGGAAACCTGAGGCAGAGAAGGAGGCCGTCGAGGCCGCGAAAATCAAAGGGCGCAGTTCTTCAGCCGCCTCACAGAGCAAGCTTGCGCGGCTTGCGATAGGAGCAGTTGCGAATTGCCGCAAAGCAGCTTGAGGCCGGAGATTCTCAGAAAAAAAAGCCACATGCTGACCGCACCGTAACACATCACAGGCATTGCTCGCAGACGAATCCAAAGAGACAGATCTCCTGTGCGGCACTGAGTACTGCTGTGCACGAGTTGCACACATGCCGCGCTAGCCACAGAACAGAATCTTTCGGTTCAGATCTTTCAAGGTTGACCGCTCCACAAAATGAGACCCTGAGCTGTGCAACGGGACGATTAGTGTGAACTGAACTTGTTTTTCACCTTGTCGTGCACTTGCATCTGCGGCAGGTGCATTCCCTTCGACTCGCATGTGTTCAGGTGTCATGCAATTTCACGCACTGCACGTCTTCATCCTGCGTCTTGTCCGGGGACACTGCCATGCTGTTTGAATTCATGGCACGTTTCTTTCATCGTCCCTCACATGGCAAGGCGGGACCTGACTGGCCTGCCCTGGCCTGAATTGCTGCACCATCGCAGGACATGGTCAGGCTGTGACTATTGATAAATCAAACTTGTGGTTGGTTCAATCAGCCGAAGCTTAAGCCAGTGCCCCACCCATGCTTGCAAAAGCTGTATAATCAGCCAAGTCATCCTAGCCAATGTTGCTTGGATCGGCAAGGTCCAAGCAGTTTGACCAGTTGCATGCCAAGCATCGCGCGCAGCTGGTAAGCGCAGTTACTTGGTTGGCATCAGCCCTCAAGCCACCTGCGTGAGAACTCTACGGATACGGCAACTTGACATAAATGACATAAATGGAGCATGCCAGGAAGCATGCAGTTGTTCATTGTGCTTTGCAAGTCTACAGCCAGCGAACGTGTGGAACACCAACGGATTGAAATGCAGATTCACGTGTGCAACATGCGTCGTTGGGTGGGCCATGACCATGCTTACAGCATCACCTTCGTCAGTATCATTTCCATGACATGATGATCATCAATCTCATCATCCTGGTGATTTTGCAAAGGGCTAGGTCATCACCGTCATCACTATCGTTGGTATCGATTGAAGCAGTTTGCACATTATTGCATTATCCTGGTCACCACCAGAAACCAGTAATATCATCGTCGCGGCAACGAGTATGCAACTCAACCTGTCTGTAAGGCAAGCACAAAGACCCTGAAGGCAACGGTGTTGGAAACCTAACGCACAGGGGCGCTCGGCTCTGCATTGCAAAGACCGTCGTCCCATAGGCACTCAAAGTGCAACTTGACACATCAGACCCTACGTAAACTTTACCTACAATTACCACCGCCTCATTATGTTGTTTTAAGGCGAGCCGTTGTTCTGTGAGATCTAGGATTCCATTGAATACACTCAGCAAAGTACTGTCCTTTGATCCGGTGCGCTATCTGCTAGTCGGGATTACAGCTTGTGTTAGTTATGAAAAATTCTGGGCTGTGACCTCTCCATCCACCGGTGGCTGAAAGGCAGAGCAGGCCCAGCTCCTTCAATCCGAGCAGGCGCGGCTTTTGCACGGCAAGCCATCAGGGCTGGTACCCCTTGTCAGTAGGATTAGTTTAAATCCGAGTCTGCATGTAAATGTGCTTGTTCCACTGCTCCGAAATCGCGGCGCTGCGTCTTTCAAGGTCTCAAGCAGCTGCAAGTTACAACTTAGATTCTGATCGTTATCGCCTAGAAGACATGTTTCTTCGAGCGGCTTGGGACTCGTGGGTGCAGCACGTGAACGCGAGGCCATGCGCAAGGAGCTCGAGGCCAAGTTCTGTGCTGCACAGGCCAGGCTGCGGCTCTCACCAGAGGCATCTGCCGCGAAGTCCTCGCATTCCAGGCATCTTGGCAAGCCAAAGAGGGCGAGGCCTCGCTTCCTCATGGTCTGCAAGGAATGTGACGCAAGACGACAGTGGCAATTCTTGGGCAACGGATTCCATCGGGGAAGTCCGTCTAGGAGCTTCAATCAGCCACAGGCCGTTGCCTGGCAGAAGCACTCTGAGGTTCTGGAGAAGGACTGCAAGCCGAGAGAACCTTCTTTGCATTTGAAAGGTTTGGTCGTCCAGAGTAGCAAGACACTTGCCACGTTACGGCAAGTTGGAAGGAACATGACATACCGGATCGGAATGTACAGCTTGCTTGCCACGAGACCGATGTGGTGGCAATGTAATTGATTTGGAAAACCTGCAGAGACAGAAGCTGATGCCTCGCCTGTATTCGCAACAGGACCTTTCTGCTTCGCGTGCAGACAAGGCCATGTGACACATGAAGGCTTGCAGTCCTCAGGCATTGATCGGCCCGGCACAGTGCATCGACACCTTTCCGGTCCTGTGGGCATCCGCCAATATCCGCCAGGCTGCGAGCGATGCTCAAGTGGAGCGCCTGAGCGCTGCCCAAGGCCATCCCGGGACAAAAACTTGCTGAGCTTGCTGTGGCGATTCTTCATGTCAGGAGAAAGCCGGCGGCTGGTAGAGGCGAGTCGGCAAGACCGCATGCACTGGTGTGAGTCCCGCAGCAGTGTAAATGCGGTGGAACTCTTCCCGTCCTTCACTCCTGCAGTTGTGACGTTGCTTTTCGGGTAGCTTGGCGTTCCATTTACGCGTCGTGCTTCGCGGGTGCACCCAACGAAATTGGGTCATCGGGGTCAGAGCGAACTTCGCAGGAGCTGCAGAAGGAGATGAAGCGTTTGCGAGAAGAGCTCCAGGAGGCGGCAGACTGCTTCACCCGGAACCACTTTGCAGAGATTTCTTCAGGTGCAGAAGAACGAACCATTGGAGCTGCTCCTTCGGTTGAAGCGGCTGGAGGACCGTCACGAGCCGCAGAGGGCTCTCATCCGTCGTTTGTGTAGCGAGTTTGGCAGGAGGAGCTCCAGGAGTCAGAGACGGCCAGGTGCTTCCTTGGATAAGAAATGCTATCGGTTTCCTGCAAATCAAGCAATCAAGCGTACGCAAGCAGTTCACTCGGTGCTTCCATCGTGAGTTTTCCGAAAGGCGACACTTGGAGCGCGAGCGCAAGCGGCGGCCCGGCAGTCGTCGCTCGGCTTACGAAGTAGAGCAGAGCACGTGCCACAGCAAAAATGCAGCCCAGACGGTTGCATCTTCTACATGTACCCACATCGCTGAAGTGGTGATAGACTACGCGAGTATACTGGTACCGGAGGCAGATTTTCTTGCAGGCAGTCGCAACTGCTTGATGGGGCTGCTCTGTATTAATATGCAACAAAGTTCGTCTTCGCTTGCTTCCTGCTTGTTGTGCTCGGCCACAGGCCGCACACGAAATCACCCACACTTTGGACTGAGGCAGTGCAGGCTTCTCTGCAGTTCTGGAGGCTAGCTGCTCTTGTTGTGCTGCAAGATGACGTGTGTGTGTGTGTGGCCCGGTAAGCATTGTCATATAGCGCTGCTTCAAAGCAGGACGACGAGAACCAGCCGCCGCCGGCAAAGCCCGAAGCTGGACGCGTGGCAAATGCAGGCAACTGGTTCCTCAGCACCCAGCTGTTAAGCGAGAAGTCTGTAAAGCTGGGAGGCTCTAGATTGCGATGTATGGTGAGCATTTGTGAGCCAGGATCATCACAACAGCAGTCTTGGTTGCCTGATTCGGAGCATTGGCGAAGCCCGTCTAGCAAGTTGCTTTCGTCGGTCAGTATTGCGTCGTCGGGCTCGGAAGGGGCATGTGCTTGTCCAGAATGCAATCAAGTCTCGACGATTTGAGGAGCTTTGCCCGGAGGCAAAACCAGCGTCATTTCTGCGTTGGACGAAATCCAGGAGAATGCTGTTGCGCGATTACGGGGAAAGCGTGCAGTGGATGTTCCCATCAACGAGCATGCCAGTCTGCAATAAGTCTCCCGACCAGGAGAGGCTTGCAGCCAGGGAGAAGGCCTTGCACGAGGCCAAGATCTCCCTCACCAAGGTGTGCCGTTGGGATGCGTGGATTTCCCCCCCGCCCCCCCACTTGACTCGTACTGCAGCGGAGGATCCCAGCACGAATGCTCCCGGCGAGCCTCAAGCAGCGGCAGCGACCAAGGAGTGCATCTCCGCGCAATTGTTTCACCGTTGGCGTGCGTGCTTTTGCCTGGCGCTCCCTGACAGGGCCAGCAGGGCCCGCCGTCCTTGGCCGAGTTAGAGCGCGACTTCGGAGCGTCCGCAGCTGTGAAAGGGCGACACCGCAGCCTTTGCCGCAGAGGAAAAAGCGCCACGGATGTTCTGCGCAGGTATGCTCGATCGGTTGGCTTCAAAGGCGACGTCAATCAACTCTGGGAAGAGGCATCGTCACTCACTATTCGGGGCGCTTGAAGTTCGTGAAGTCGTCGTGAGATGTCATTGTAAAGTGGCGGCCAGATGCCTTCAGGCTCAGGCGGTGGCAGCAGCCACTTCACTCGGCCAAGAGGTCCGTTCTTGCTTCGTGCTGGCAGTGCATGGAAGTGTGCTGACATCGCTTAGCAGATATGATTATATGGACAATTGGGCAGCTAAGCTTGTGGCTTTAACCTGGGAGCCACCAAAGCAGGAACAGGGTATGTCGGAACGACCTGTGGAGGAACCTGTTCAGTGGAGTATTGCTAAGCAGGGTGTCGTGCTATCGCTGCATGGCATCGCGGTCCGGTCGATGATGGTTTTCTGTTGTTGTGGCGTGGACACTTCTGCTGCTTTGTCCGGAGCTGTCTGAGCGAAACTGTCCACAAGTCCCTGGAGTTGGAAAGAACCTTGGCACACCTTTCCAAGTCGTCTCCTGTCTTCTTCGTCTCAGGTCCAACTAGCTGCAAACATTTTGCAGTCTATTTTTTCAGTCGGGTGGCTTTCGTTCGAATCGGCTCGGCAGGTTGGAGACTCCGCCTTGAAGAAGGCGGGGGAGAGATGCGAGCCTGATAGTTTTGCCTTCTGCGAAGATGTCCTCTTCAGGTTCGCGATGCCCTATCACGCAGAGAAGCTCCTGTTGCAGGGCTCCCAGACCTCTGCAGAAACGGCTGCTGTTTTCCGAGTTCTCATTGCACTAGCTTGGCTAATGACAGCAGAACCAGACTGCTCTGACAGTGTCAAGCTGTCGAACACGAACACGGCATGCAACAGCCCAACAGGCTGGTCGTGCTGCGTGCTGCACCAACGACTGTTTGCAGATTGGTAAGAGCCTCCTTCAATCACGATGTCTAGTCTAGGCTGCTGACATTCAGCTTCGGCCATTGCCCGAGGGAGCAGCAGTGTTGCGTTCTCAGCAAGGATAGCAAGGAGGGCCCACGACGCGAGGAAAAGAGTCTCCAGCCTGGCGACTTGGTTTGTGTTAGGTCGAGTCCTCCTCGCCGGGGGGCCACGGCCTCAGAGATTCTCATAAATGTGAGCTTGCAGCCTGAGTCACCGAAGCCCCCTTGTTCCGGGTCATCTACAAGGTCCCATGGAAACCCAATGGAGACCACACTCCAAATGCAGGCCAGACCTCTTGTGAATTTCGATTCTGCACATGACGCAACACTGCCTCAAACAAGAATATATCCACTGCAAGCAGGTGTGCACAAGGACATCCGCTTGCCGTGGGTCTGCGCTCATTTTTGTGATGATATAGCCGCAGTCAACGAAGCATGTTAAGCACTTGAGAAGCTCCTAATCTGTGCAAGTCAAATCTGCGTTGCTTGATGGAGGCTTAGATTCTTAGATAAGTACTGGAGTAGCACAATGTTCAAGGAGATCGGTGGTGAGAAGAACGGACATCTGTTCCCGACCGAGATGATGTGTCTGCATGCCTTACACGAATTGATCTAGCAAGTCAGGCTTGTCCTGTTTTCTGGTGTTTGACATGGCGAGACATGCTGATCGTGTTCCGTGATTGTCTCGTAGGTCAGGGTTTGTCTTTTGTGATTATCGATATCTGCTGGTGACTGAACAGCTGGAAGATGTAAAGCAGTTGCGTGAGCCTACTTTGGACGGTGCAACATCGAGGTCTGGTGGCCGCCATGGTGGTGCGCTGCCATTGGCCGCGCAGGATGGAGAAATGACCCTAAGTCTAGCCAGTGCTTCCACGGTTGGAGCGTTCATGTGGCGAGCAGCATGCGATAGTGGCGTGGCGCAGGAATGTTTCCAGCAGGCGGAGGCAGGGTACTGCCTGCAGTTCGGCCCAAACGGAAAGCGCCACACTCCTCCCAGAGCCCTCCCGGATTTCCTTCTAAGCAACACGTGTGGCCTGCCCATACGCCCATCCCATCCCCCCTTCTTGTCGGTGGCTGCAATGCCTTTGCCTGCACTGCCGCAGCACCTCATAAAAGAGCCTCGCAGCCCTCCCCCCCCGCCGTGAGGTCCAAACAGAAATGTCCTGGCACAGCTGTTTCTATCTATCTACGTGCCCCCCCTCCTCCACTCCCCGGCTTGCCCGTACTCCGTACCCCCATAGTAGAGCCCACCCCGCCCTGCAAATCGCTCCTTTACCCCACACCCCCCCCCGCCCCGCCCCTCCAATTCATCAAGCACTTGTGCAGAAGTGTCCTGGCAAGGCTGTGTTGACGAGGCAGAAGCCCTCCCATTAGCAAAACGTACCCGTACAAGCAACTCTGCCCCTTCATGCTAGTCAACTCACCAACCACTCGTGTCGTCCACATGAGGTCCAATTATCAGACCCGTCCCGGCACTCCTTCTTCGCAATACGTCTGGGTGTCCCCCCCCCCGCCCGCCCGCTTGCCCGTAGCCCCATACCCCCGCATGCTGGAGCCCTTGCCTCCCCCGCTCAAAGCAAAGGCGTTCCCGGCCCACAAACGAGCAGCTTTTCCTTGCTCCCGGCCGCCCCACCCCATACCAGAGCCCCTCGGCACCCCGCCCTCCCACAGCCTTCCCCGCACCGTTATCCTCCTCTCGCTGCCCCCTATTTTTGAAGCACCTAAATCGAGTATCCAATTCAAGATTATTGCCAGGGACGCCAAACGTAACTGTAAAGACATAAAGCTGCGCTTTCAGTCATCTGCCCCTTTGCACCATACCAGAGCCCCCCTCGTTCCCACCCAGCATAAGCTGTTAACTCATCAAAAACCTGTGTCTTGAGCAGGCTACTTGAGGTCCAAACAGAAGTGTCCTGGCAAACCTGTTTTGACTGGGCAGAAACGGGCGCGAAGACACTCCTCCAAGAGCCCGTGCCCCACCTGCTTGCCCATAACCCCCTCGAGCAAATCCGTTTTAGCCTTCAGGGTGCTTGGTGTCCAAACCAGCTAAATTTGCTACAAGTTCCGTGCCCCTCCCAAACCCCTTGCACCGGGGCGCTGCAAGGCTGCAAGGGACACCATAGGCGCTTTCCATCATCTGGTGCAGCTTCAACGAGTGCATACTGCTGAATGCAGAATATGAGGTGTCTTAGTCAGGATGCCTAAACTAAACTGAAATGTGGGTCTTGTCTGAGGCACTCTGTCAGCGCCAACGTTTTTCTGAGGCGTGGCTTGTGATGATAAAGGCAGTGGTGCAGAGCAAACAGGTTGTGCAACAGCATCACAGGCAGTGCCGCTATTCCGGCGAACACTGGAGGTTCTGCAGGCAGGCATCGCGACTTGTTTAGAATTTGCCGTGAGCAGAATAACTGCAATTAGATCGGTGCGACCTTCGCCACCGGCCTAATGCCCCACTGCAAATCCGCAAGTTCTCAGGAGTCGGGACTCGGCTTGCCGGGTACCAGTGGCGCGGTGATCACGGCCGAGGTGCTCTTTTGGCTTTTGTGTCCGCTGTCCACAGATCATGACTGCATCAAGCTGCTCTCGTCCAGTGCAGGTGTGGGCACATCTGGGTGTCGCCATGCAGTCGACTCCCCAGACAACGTGTGCCTAGCAGCCTTAAGCCTTTAGCAATCTGGCTCGATGCCTCAAGCTTTTCTCCCAGACTCGGTCAGACCTAAGCCGGCCGGCGTCGCCGGCTATATGACGGCGCAGCAGAGCCTCTTACCACCAGACGGAATAGAGCCGATCGTACCATTTGGCTTCGAGAGCTAATAGAGTGCGACGGTTGCTTGGCTGCAACCGCAAGAGCTTCCTATCTTGATGGGGCTTCACCCTGCCTTCTCTTGCATACTGCAATTTGCAGGGCTTCTCTTTCTGCCCAATGTACTGCATGATCAAGAGGGCAGGGTCGGCGATGGCGTCTTCGTAAGGTCCTTGGACCAAGTCCCGGAAGCCATCGAGAGCTACAAGCGAGCTGTGTGGCACCAAGCAGCTGATTCGGGTTCCTGTTGCTGTAACTCCCTGCAACAGGAGACACATTTTGTCTGCCTGGAGCTCCTCGTTTCGGCATGGCATACTGAGTCTAGTCTTTTGCGGAAACTTCCCGAAGCTTAACCGGCCCTGATGCGTCTCTTAAGACCAAGGTACTTCGTAAATAAGCCCTGAGGATGACAATGAATGACAAAGCGGATAACAACAAAGCACAGCAGCATTCAATCGAAAGCACATGGTCAACAGGTGAGATTTACCGAGGCTGAAAAGCCAAGCGCAAAAGGCAAAGAACAAGCTGAACACGACCACCGGAGATTGGAGAGCGGGCAAGCTTTGTCTATACGGCTCTTGTTCAAGCGGAGTTTCCGATCGGAGGCTCAGCACCAACCATTAAAAGCATGTGATACCGTGGGGGGACCCCTGGCTCTTGCCAGAGGCTTCACGGATGGGGAGTTTGGCGTAGGACCGGTCGTGTTCAACGTGTTCAAAAGTCGACACAGAACGAGTCTGCAAGCCGCAGGAGCATAGGGTTTCTGCAAGTCGAAACCAGTCTAGGGAGCTTGTTACTCTCTCAGATGATTTGGGGAGGTTTCCCTTATGCAGGTCGGCGCGGTGATTGCATCCTTTGAGCCGCCTTTCTTTCTACTCGACCCTGTTCTTGTCGAACTGCATGCAGCAAGCAAGGTGTCGCTGGATCCAGCTCTTCACGCTCGGACCTTCGCATTGGACGGCCGGTTGTTCTCATGAGTTGCTGTTGAGGTTTCGCTGGATGGTTCAGGTAAGCTTAGTCTGCCTCCTTGGGACATGCATTGGAATCGAGTGGCCCTAGGGGAGTGCTGCAGACTCCATTGCATCCGGACGAAGTTCCCAGTAAAGACCGGGTTTGAGTCCCGGTTGCGGGCATGTCTTGGACTCAGGTCTGTTTCGCCAATCTTGCAACACTCCATGCGTACCTCAATGACTCAAAGAAAGCGTTGGAGTGCCCCTCGTCGAGGGTCGAAAAGCGCTGTGCCGTACACATCATGCCCTGGATTGGTGCATCTGTGGTGAAGGTACATTGGGAATGCCATCGAGCTCGATCCGGAAAACCGGACTTACACGCAGCTCAGGCACGCCTGTTGCCAAGCGATGAGCTTGTCCGTGTACGTATTGTTCTTCAATGATTTGCAGTAGCTTTCTGTTCGGACAAAAACCGCGAAAGCAGACAGTGGAGTTATTCCTGCAACTCTCCCTCGTGTTTTGCCTTTCTAAACTTTGATCCTGTTTGCTGCGTGCTGTTGACTTGGAGGTACCAGTTCTTGGACTGCCAGTCTCAGGAAACCTCCGAGGTGGCAGCGGAGGGTGGGGGGAAACCAATTGAATCTCGCTTCTTTTGCCATGTCCTTTGGCCATCTTTCCAGCCTTGTCAAACACGGACTGGAGCCCCTGTTGACAGGTAGACAAAGAGGCCCTCGAGGATTCAAGCTCCTCGGCCGAAAGAGTCATTCCCCGGCGCAGATTCGGAATATTAAGGGGCGGTTGCAGCAAGTAAGCACGAGAGCATCTCGTGGCCGCCAGTGCTCTCTGGAAAGTTGAGTTTCACGTACACAGAGAGACCTGCATTCCAGCATGCGAGGTGCCTCGAAGCACGCCCTAAGCGAGGCAGAAGAAGGACAAGCGGAGCCTTCTGCAGAGCACTCTGGGCCGCCGCCGGGGAGTGGGAAACAAAGAAAGTTCTGAGGCGAAGCGCAAGTGTTTGCACTCATTGCCTGCGCATCCGAGGCTTGCATTCATGTGCCGAGCCTTTCTACACAGATCGCCGGCTCCAAAGTGCAACCAGCGTATACTCGTGCCACTGCCAGGCTCGTTGACCGCACAAAGCACCCACCACCAACAGTTCACCTCCGACTATGATCTGGCCAGCCCAGCAAGTAAAGTAGTGCTTCGGCCGATTCTCCGTAGCTGGCTGACTGCGGCCATGGTTGGCAGAGTGCCATGGTGTCTTCCAGGCAGATGTCTTCGAACGGATGCTGCAATGGATAGTGCATTGGATGTTTAGAGGTTACGCTGCAAGAAATCATTGAATCATAGTGTTCCTCTTTGCTTGCAGTTATGTAGAAAGCATGACTGGCAGTTCGGGAGCAAACTAGTTCTGCCGCCGACATTGTGGCTCGTCAGTGCAGCCAATTTTTGACAGCGTGCGAGAGAAAACAGACCTGGGGCAAATGGCAAGCGCTGCTGCGGTCGAGAAGAACTTGGCCAAGCTAGATGCAGTGATGCGCAAAACGAAAGCTTTACTCTCAGAAACGTTTTAGGTTCTTCCGACACCGGCTTGGTGTTGAGTGTGGCCGTGGACAGAATCTTCCTGAGTCCGAGGTTTTTGTAGCGCCAGTCGACCGACGGATCCTTCGGAGCAAAGCTGTTGTGAAGGCCTTGTCGAGGGGCATGGGCTCGAACTGAATCTTGGTGTTCCCGGCGTTTTTTTTCTCACGCGTGATGCCAGGGCAGGTCCTGGCCGATGCAGCTACACGGACTGCGGCCACCCAGCGAGGTGCCAATGTAGGGAGTGTCGAAGTTGTGTCATCAACAGAGAGCATGCTCCATTGTGAGGCGAGCTCCAGCTCCAGTGGCGCAACTCGCAGTCCTTCCAAGGACAGGATGAGCAAACATAATGTCATAGGAAACTAAACGAGCCTGTTGCCGGGATATGCCGGGATGGCCAGGACGTCTTCCCAATTACGGCGGAGAAGGCACAGCAGAGTCGATATGTTGGTATGTTGGTCCTTTGGAAACAAAGGTCACAGGTAGGTCTTTGATTCGCAGCGGCTCTTGTTGCAGCTGGTTGTGGATATGTTGACAACGGCGATTTTGGTGTTGCCTTCTTTGGACATGTGCGCTCTGCTTCTGGTTCTGGAATCGCGATTGCTTGTGAGTTGTTGGGTGTGGTTCGTGGGAGGCTGCATGCTGAACCTGCATTCGTGATGATAGTGTCGCAGCGGTATTACTTGTGCTGGTGTCTTTTTCTTCAGTAATCATTTCGTCAGAGATCTGCTAAGTCGGTGCAGTATAGCGGAGCTGCGATCAGCAACCAAAACACAACCACGTTGCCTCTGTCTCCAAGCTGCGATGCTTACGGACATGAGCTGCAGAGCAGCTGTCAGAATTAGAGGTGCGGAGTGGAGTGGCGATGAAAACCCAGTGAGACACACAGACAGACAACATAAGCAAGCTTGGTTTTGCAACGCGGCCTGGGAACAGGTCCAGCAGACGTGCTCAAGTGCATCAGGCGAGCGTAAGGAGGTGCTGCTTGGATGAAGATGAGCTTCGACAAAGCGGGATTGCTACCGGTGCGTGCATTACAAGAAGGCAGTGTTTTGTCTGCTGGTTTGAGCAGTAAGCCCACTGTTTGCAAGCGCCGAAGGCTGACGGCTGACGATCCCCGGCTGAAAAGTATGTCTTTCGTTGCGCTGCTTCTCACCCAAAGCTGAAAAGCGTAACTTCTCTTTCGCTGTCCTGATTTGCCGAGGATTTCAAGGGAACATGGGTCGATGCTGATGGGACACGCGGCCAAAGAAAGCAAGGCATGCCACATATGAATGGAGACATTTCGAGAGGCAGGATGAGGCAGCCTATCCATCAAGCATATGCGAGTTCGCGTCTGCAGTGCGTGTGTCATGCGTAGCTTCTGTTTGGCATCGCTCTTGTTCTCAGAGCAAGCCGCTCAGGAACAATGTGCACGTTGCCGAGGATGTGGACAGGGTTTGAGAAAGTCGCGCCTGTAGAAAGCAGAGACAACGTTACAATGCTTAGGCTACTAGCGGATTGTTTGTCCATCGCAGTTGTCGCAGAGACATGCAGGGACATGAAAGCTGCGTGCCACACGAAGATTTTACCAAGAGAATGAGTGGTGATCAACATGTCATTGCCGCGGTTTCCTCATCACACTCATGTGACAAGCATGAGTCAAGATGATCAAGCGCTGATTGGAGGCCGCTCAATTTGGAGTTTTCGGCCAATTGGTCTGATGCTTAAAAAGGGGAAATATCGGCGCCCACATCTAAGCCTCGAGTAGCTCAGATACGGGAGAGGGGTCAAAAAAAAATTT